GTTTGTTCTGGTTTTGAGTCTGCTAAGACATGGAGTGGTGTTCTTTCATGCTAGGAAAAGAAGGAATTCAAAAATCATTTGAATAAARTGTCATTTGAAGTAACCAATATAAATATAAGACCATTTTCACTGGCTGTAACAGCAGTTTTGTGCTTCAATAGAACATATTAGGCTTTCAAAAAATAAGGAAAATTGACGTCTCGCTTTTTGTACTCAACAACTCCATCCTCCGCACACAACAAAACCAAGCACCCGTCACTGAACCCTTCATTGCTATGTTCAAAGACTACACTTTGTTCAGTAAAATAGATCTCAACCACAGTTATCGCCAGTTTATCTTAGACGAAGAATTAAGGAAAACAATGGCATTCTCAACACCATGGGGAAAGTACATATACCAAAGACTCGCCTTTGGTAGCGTAAACAGTCAAGATCCATTTGATGCAGAAATGTGAAAGATCATATCTGGAAGTCCAAGAGTGCTCAACGACAGAGATGGTATAATGATTGGCGACATAGACAAGGCTGACCAAGATAGGAACCTTAYAGCAGTACTCAAGCGACTACAAGACCACAATCTGAACATCAGAAAAGAAAAATTAGAATTCCAAAAGCGGACGACCCTARAGTTCCATGGACACCTATTCACAGCAGAGGGACTAGAGCCCAGCAGTARCAAAGTATAATTTGTTAGCTCCTGTCCACCACCTAAAACCAAGGAAGACCTGATATCCTTCCTGCAGATAGTTGCATACTTATCACGAAACATAGCCAGACTCTCAAACAGATGTGAGTGCCCTTGAGAAGTCTAAAGACGAGACACAGTTTCAATGGGGACCGGATCAACAGAGAACATTCGAGGACTTAAAGAGAGCACTGACCCCTGCACCTACCTTATTCCCTTACAGACCAGAAAGAGAAAGACTAGTCGTTTGCGATGGCCTGAAGGTCTCGGTGGAGCTTTTCTACAACGAACAACGAAAGTTCAAACTAGCGATAGACCACAAACCATTACTACCACTCTTAAACAACCAACAAACAAAGCCTTCACTTAGCCGAATCGAACGCATTATCATGAAAATGCAGAGCCCCGACTTTGAAGCAATCCCCATCCCAGGAAAGTCAAACATGACGGACTACATGTCAAGACACCCGCTTCCAGACATCAATGAGTGAAGAGTTTGCTAGTTCTCTCCCTTGATTCAAGGGATTTTATCTGATTTCACCACCTCCACAAAACACAAGAAGCTAAAATCTAATTTGATTTGTAAGTTGGGCATACCCTGACTTTGATCACCCCAGAGGCTGTTTCGAGGTATTTATAAAATTAGAAGGTGAGAACGAAAGAGAATTGTAATGAATTTTATGTATAGCTTAATAAATGAGCAGGAGTGTTTTATCAGGTTTAAAACCAAAAAAACATTG